CTCTCTCTCTCTCTCTCTCTCTCTCTCCTCTATCTATCTCTATCTCTATCTCTGTATATCTATATCTATCTGTATCATCTATATCTATTAATGTATCTATCTATATCTGTATCTATATATCTATGTCATTTATATCTATATCATGTATATCTATATCTATTTTCAGATGAGTGCCATAGAGAAAAATAAAAATAAAGCAGGGAAAGAAGATGGAGGGCTGTGTGTGGGGGGGTGTTGCTATTTTGAAAAGTGTGGGCAGGGAAGGCCTTGTAGGGAAGGTGACATTTGAGCAGAGGCCTGATTTTGGGTGGGGCGGGGGGCATGGGGATGTCTATGGGTGTCAATCTGTAGGCACATATATATGTGTGTGTGTTTGTGAGTGGCCAAGGTATTGAACTAAAATTGTTTCTTTATTTAATTAGTGTCCTTTGTGATTTATTTCCAAAGTAATACTACCTGACCAATTTGAATAAGCATAAGACCTGATTTTACTTTGATTAAATGGTTGATTGATGCATTTATGTTAAGCATCACATCTGTGACAGACTTGTACCTCTTTTTCAGGGATACCTGCCATGAACTCTTAGGTCATGTCCCCCTTTTTGCTGAACCTAGTTTTGCACAATTCTCCCAAGAGATTGGCCTGGCGTCACTTGGAGCTTCAGAGGAGGCTATTCAAAAACTGGCAACGGTATAAATCTGGAACTAGCTGTCTAGATCAGTAATTCTTACTGGGTGGGATGTGAATATTTGCATAATTTAAAAATGTGTATTCAAGATGGCCATTATAAGATGTTTCTTTGTTCATATTTAGTTTAGTTTAAATAATTTAAAGAACATTAAAGGAGGCTGTACATTTTAATGTTTATCAACGGGAGACATGAGCTTAAGAAAAGGCAGAGAAACACTTGAGTACAATAATGTTAATAGTTTGTGTATGTTCTTTTTTCAGTAAGACTGATACATTCCTTAAAAATGGTACTAAAAAAATATATATTTTTAAAAGATTTTATTGGGGAATTGGTGAAGGGGAACAGTGTTGGGGAATTGGGGAAGGGAAACAGCCTAGTTGTTGTCCTTCAATCTTAGTTGTGGAGGGCACAGCTAAGCTCAGCTCCAATTCCAGTTGCCATCTGGCCGCCCATTGGCAGCTCGCGGCTGCCCAGCTCAAGGTGCTGTGTTCAATCTTAGTTGCTGGTGGGCATAGCCCACCATCCCATGTGGGAGTCAAACCGGAAACCTTGTTGTTAGGAGCATGTGCTCTCACCAGCTGAGCCATCCTGCCACCTGTTGGCAGTTCAGCAGCAGCTCAGCGCAGGCTCAGCTCACTGGCCCATGTGAGAATTGAACCGGCGACCCTATTGCTCAGAGCTCGCACTCTTCAACAACTGAGCCACTTGGCCGGCCCCTAAAAATATTTTTGGGCAGTATGTACAAAGCACCATGCTGGAAATACAAAGATGAGGAAGGCCTGGTACCTGCCTTCAAGGAACTGATATACTACTTGAGGAGACAGTTCTGTTAGAATAAGATGAAGGTGATAGAGAAGTTCAGGCAGAGTGCGCTGGGAGTGCAGAGAGCTGCTTGGGAAGGTTTCATGGAAGAGGAACATCTGGACTAGCCCAGGAAAGATGAGACATGTTTTCAAGAAAGGAGGAAGGGCACCTTGGGACAAGGGCACACAAGGAAAGACAAGGAGATGCTTCGTGTGTCTGGGGAAACAATAAGAATAGAAGCTGGAGCAGAGTGTGTGAGGGTGGGGTGGTGGTGTGAAATGGGCTCAACGGTTAGAACAGTGCTTCTCAAATTGTGGTTTGGGGACCATGGGGGTCCCTGAGACTCTTTCATGCGGTCAAAATCATGCGTAGGTAAAAGATCTATTGGAAGTGCGAAGTGGATGTAACAGACAGAGTTCGCTGATATGGTTTCACAGTCCACATTGCAGCTGAAATGTGAGAAACTTCCACTTTGAGTTTTGATGTAGTGTCAAAGAAGAACATCCACAATTATCTGAAAAGGCTATTACAATATTCAATCCTTTTACAACTACTTATCTGTGTGAGGCTGAATTTTCTTCATATACTTTAACCATATATGTTAGCCATTATTATTACTACTAATAATTGACAACCTGTTAGGTGACAGGTGCTATTCTAAGCATACAGGATGTAAAACTAAAAATAAACAAACAACCCCCCCCCTCAAAATGACAAAAATTCCTGTTTTCATAGAGCTTATATTACAATGGGGGTGGAGGGTATACATAATAAGCAAATTTATTGCAACAGGTTAGATACAGAAGCAGATATGAGAATCCATCTGTTTTCCAGCCCAACATTAAATAATATCTAGCCAGACATTAAAAAGATTCACAACAATGTAAAACAATGCTGCTTTTTTTCACATTTTTTTGTTTTGTACAATATAGTTACTTTTCATTAAAATGTTACTTATGTTACCATAAAATGGTTTATTATATTTTAAAATTTATTAGTAAACATTTACCTTTTTTTGTTTTAATTTTTAATATGGTAAATACAACTAGCCATAACCCACATAAATAAAAGGCCTTTGGGGTCCTCAGTAATTATTAAGAGTATGAATATATAAAGGTCCTGGGAACAAAAGTCTGTGAAGTGCTGACTTAGAATGAGGCCAGATCGTAGAAATATTGTGAGCTAGTCTGGGAGTCTTGGACTTTATTCCAGGGTACTTTGGGTCATGAAGAGTGGTCATGTGTTTTAAATTGAGTCATTCAGGATGTGAAAGTAACATTGATATCCTTTTGCAGTGCTACTTTTTCACTGTGGAGTTTGGTCTGTGCAAACAAGACGGGCAGCTAAGAGTCTTTGGTGCAGGCTTACTTTCTTCTATCAGTGAACTCAAAGTAAGAGTTGTAAATATTTGCACATAACTATATTCACTTACTAATTGGTACAGCCTGAAATAGCTTTTGGATTTGAACAAGAGCTTACTATGGAAGATATTTAGGATGGCAGTAAACATTACTTAAGAGATACTTTTCTTGATTTTCCAAGTTTTCAGACATCTATCTATCTATCTATTTATCTATCCACCCACCCATTTATCAGTCATCTATCTATATCTTTTAAATAAAAAAATATTTTAAAGCTTGTGCTTGCAAATTCTTGCTGTTTCCTCACTATTTTTGGTGTGCTAGCAATAACTGCTAGGGAGTTTTTTGAGATTTATTAATTAGCCAATAAAGGAATAAACTTAGGTTTGTTGAGTGATGGATGTGTATGAAATACTGTCTGAGGCACTCTCTTGCTCTCAAGGAGCTGAGCACCTGGTGGTGGGTACAAGTCAGGCAAAGGAACAACTAGTGCATGTGGGAAATAGGTGCCATAATGCAGGAATAAGGAAATAAAGATCCTTGGGTGCCTCCTACATGAAGAAGAGGGTTAGAACAATCAAGATGATCTTGGGGGCATTTCTGAAGGACAGCAAGCCATTTGTTTTGCTAGAGAATATTATGGGTTAAGTAGAACTATAGGAATTGAGGGTGGAATTGCAGGTTGGGGCCATTGCATTACTTATTCGGAGGTGTGGTGATTCTGGCACTGTGTGTTGAATGCGATCAATGAAAATGGATAGTATTCTTTGATTCACTGACTCTTTGTCCTCTAGCATGCACTTTCTGGACATGCCAAAGTAAAGCCCTTTGACCCCAAGATTACCTGCAAACAGGAATGCCTTATCACCACTTTTCAGGATGTCTACTTTGTATCTGAAAGCTTTGAAGATGCAAAGGAGAAGATGAGGTAAAGTATATCTTCCTCATGTCTTAACTTTCCTCTGTGAAAGACCCAATAATGGTATGAAATCACAGAAGTAAGCAACTGGATAATTAGAAGCCTACTAGGTGCCTTCTGCCTGTAACACATCTCCCTTTCACTACAAATATTTAGAGTATGTTGTTTATAATGATGTTTGGTAGTTGCAAATATGAGTCAGATACATTGACAAATTGGTTTCTTCCCATTTCTCCCATCCAGAGAGCTTATAATCTAATAGAAAAAACAAACTATACACAAATTACTGTATAACAAAGTAGAATGCTTTAGAGGAGGTACATATGAAACAGTGTTCAGCATTTTACACAGGAGCCATTCAGTTCAGCTAGGGGAACAGGGAAAGTTTAATGGCATTGTACAATAGAAGGGACTTGAAGGATAGGTAGCATTTAGATAAGTTATAGGCTAAGGGACAGCATGAAAAGGTAAGGAGATGGAAAAATATAGGAGACATATGTGATGTAATTAAAGCTTTGCTTTAACTATGAATCAGCTAAGTGTGTTGTTAAGAAAGGAGGATATTGGAGGCAGAGAAACTACTTAGATTCCTACAATACTTCAAGTGAAAATAAAAACCGGAACTAAGATAGAGATTGTAGGAAAGGAAACGATAGAAGCAGAATCAACAAAACAACATTTGGGGAAGGGGTCATGAGGTCATATTGTGACAATGGAGACATATAGGGGTTGAAGACATGCTCCTTGTCTTCCAGGGATTTTCCATTAGTTGGGGAGTTAAGCCGTGTATAGAGCCAGATAACAATACCAGAAGGGCTTCCACTAGTACCTATGGTACCTTTGTGCCAACTAGAAGAGAGGGCCCCCTGGGTAGACTAGGTGGATTGCAAGCTGGATTTCAGCCGCTGCTCATGCAAAATTGTTCTTAGCTGCACAATCATTCCTAGGGGTCCTGAACACAATTGTTCTTGGGGATGTGCCAAATGGGAGGTTCAAAATTTGACTTGATAAAGAAGGTAGAACTTTCATGCTTGAAGAAAGCATAGAATTTAGGTCATTTGAGAGAGGCTAGAGGAACACATTCTAAACAGAAAGAATGGACAGGTGCAAGAGGCAGGACTGTTCTTGGCCTATCTCTGTGTGTGTATGTGTGTGTGTGTGTGTGTGTGTGTGTGTGTGTGTGTGTGTAGTTATGGAAATCACAATTGAGGGGTTCATTATAATGTGATGCTGTCATTCTCTACTGATAAAGCTACTGTGGTAGGTCTCTTTACTATAGTTAAGAGATGTACAAAGTAAGAAATTGTTAACAAAGCCCTCTGCAGGATCTTGCCCTGGCAATGCAGGACAGATGTATCCATGACTACTTTACCTTTTCTACCTGTGTGGGATGCCCAGGGGCCTCTGCACATGCAGTGCAGGGAAGTAGGTCAGGTGGGTTGCATGAACATCTAATGAAGATTGGCCTTTTGTCTGGTGTGTGAAATAGGTTTGCAGTTATTTATTTTGTTTTCATCATTTCCCCCTCGAAAATTGACTGTCCTTTATTTGATGTTGTTTTCTTTTTTAATAGAGAATTCACCAAAACAATTAAGCGCCCTTTTGGAGTGAAGTATAATCCGTATACACGGAGTATTCAGATCTTGAAGGACATCAAGAGCATAACCAGCGCCGTGAATGAGCTGCGCCATGACCTTGACATTGTCAGTGATGCCCTTGCGAAGGTCAGCAGGCGGCCGAGCATCTGACAGTTGCCAGTCTTAATCCTGAGAGCATCTGAGCATCAATTCAGAGGCCTGTGGGCCAACTCTTGCTTTTCCTGAAGGCTTGGTCATGGAGAAACGGCAGCTAAATTATATTTTCTATTCTTGTCTTTGAAAATTTGTACCTGGATACTCTAGCCACCACTTATTATTATTATTATTATTATTATTATTATTTGGTAACAACTTTAGTAAAATATGATTCACATACCATAAAATTCACTGACCACCCTTTTTTTTTTTTCTTATAGACAGAGGTTGCTTGACCCAACAGATAGATCTAGTCCCAGTCTGATTCTATTTTCCCCGGTCCATGTTGAGTAAAATGACCTTCCTGATCACTTCAAATATCTGGATGGGTGTTATGGAGCTGGTCTATACTGTTACCTAAGATCCTCTTATTTCTAAAGTATCTTATTACTGAATTTTCACCAAGCTCAATCACATTCACACCCATAAACTTAATAGGTGACCAGCTGCTAGCATGAGAAAAAGTATAAAGGCCTTTGCCCATGAAGCATACTTAGTAAAGAACAAGTAGTTTAGTTTCAAGTATAGTGTCTTATAGGGAAATAGGAGTAGCTAAATCTGGAAAGATTGCTTGGGAAATAATCCTTATGACCAGACTAAAAATTTGGGACTTTGTTTTGTAGGCACTAGGGAGCCGCTTCCCAAGTGACCATCCCACTTGAAACTCTTTCCATTCTATGGCATTGCATGATGCTGGTTTTGTTTTAGATGATCTGTCCTACTCATGGAACCAAGGGAACTTGGTGGGTGTACCACTTGCATGGCCCTGAACTAAGACATGCAGCCCCAGGTATCGTGATGTGATTGTCCTCAGGTTAGCAGGAGACAGTGTTGTCTGAGGGAGAGTTCAAACTGAGACAGGGGAGGAAAGCACAAAGTTAAAGTTGGAAAAGCAGTGTTGAGCACTTTATTTCCAAGGTAGAAGGTGAGACCATCAATAGGAAGGCGAGTCATGAGGGTAGAGGGTTGGGAAACAGGGAGGAAACAGAATGTAACAAAGGCTGGGAAGAACATGTTAGGACCGACACTGTAATACTGGAAGGGTTGTGAGATTGGTTTTTATGTGGTGTCAGCTGTGTAGCACAGGGAGCAGGGCCTGATATAAATGGGTGAAGCTGGACTCCCAAATACATGCTGTGTCTCTTTAATTTGCTCCTTTCTTCCCCTCTACCCACTAAAGGGAGGTTTTCCTCAAGTGCGTCTTTCGCCTTCTCTTCCTGCTACCTCTTAATGGGAATAGTCACATCCATTTCTTCAATCCTTATTTTGTATTACTCTCATATTTGCAGTTCTAACACTGACATGTTTCTTGAAATTTTGCCTCTTTAATTCCAGCTGAACGCTGGATATTTTCATCTAGATGTCCCATAAGTTAGGCCAATGTTGTACAACTTTTTGTAGCACCATTCACATAGAATGAAATGTGTTATGTAACGTGGCTGCCCTACCAAGTATCTCAAACTCAACAGGACCAAAAAGAAACTAAGAATCGCCTGAATATTATACCCCAACAGCTTCCTCTCCCAGTGATCTCATTTCTATTAATGCTATTTTAAGGGTCATATTTTCAGCCAATTTTCCATTCCTAAGAAACTGTGTTCTTATCTTTTCACATTAGTAGTCTAATTCTATATCATTTAACATGTTTTATTTCAACAGACTGCTAGATCTTTTAATCCTTTTTAGACCTCAAAAGAAATTTTAAAAACCTTTCTAAAACTTACTTTCATTTTATGTCCTATTAAGAAATAGAATTGGGAAAAGTAATTCATGCTATATCCCATATTTACATTACTTATAAATTTTAATAGCTGATTAACCATTAAATATACATTTGATAGTAAATAGATCTAAGTCAGTTACTCTAAAAAACATTTGAAATATTCATTGACTAGTTTACCATTAATGTATTTGGTTACAAGGAAATCTATTGTAAAATAACCATGATAGATAGTAAATAACAGCAAATTATGCATACTGTATCTGGTTATTTTCATACAACTCTGATCATGGTGAAGAATCATAGTTATTGAATTTTAAAATGATGGTGTTTAAAATCACTCTGTGACTAAATGTTTAAAGGCACAACCATTATAATTCACAGCTTCAGAATAATGGAAATACTTAATGATTGATTTCAGTTCTTCTAACCTCTGGATTTGTGATATTTGATATTAGAGACTCTTAAGAGTCCTGAGAGTCTTAGAATTTTCATACATTTTAAATGTATAGCTTCAAAGAATCTAGGAATATGTTAATAGTTACTCAAATATGAGAACAGAATTGAGCCAAAAGTTTGGTTCATAGTTCTTAATCAGTGAGTTGTTACTCAAAGACATAGATAGTATTTTCCTGACTTTTTGAAGAAAGCTCCCAAAAGCTGGTCATCAGAATGCCTACATTTCTTAATCTGCCTATGTTTTCATTCATAATTATACAGTAGTAATGAACCACGAAAATGTACAGAATTAGAGTTAATTTTTAAGTTGACTTCCAAATTGAAAAAAAAATCCTGGAATTCTTTGAAGAACATATAATAGAATTCATATATTAATTTCTAGGAAATGTATAAATATACTGTGGTCTATTTCAGTCTAGTCTTTGTATGATGTAATATGCATTTATGATTTGCAAGGTTGTTATTCAACTGGATAATAAATGGACACAAAATTCATGTCCTCAACAAGCATTTATTTATTTTTGTCAAACATATTAAAAACTGATTTAAATGTATATTAGCAATTGTATTAGTTTAAGAAATCTATCACATCCTTACACTTCTTAAAAAGTCTATGAATATGTGAGATAAAGGAAGCCAAACACACCTAGAATCTAGTAACCACTTTTTGAAATTCTTAGTAAAGTGGCATTCTGGTGTTCCTCATCTGTAAAAGGAGCTAAATTTATTTCCCTGGTTCATTGGAGGAATTATGTTGTGAGAAGACTTGTGAAAAGAAACATAGTATCCATATGGAAAGAATCATTAATATAATCACTCTCTTAATCGGAGATCTTCCATAGCTTCTGGATAATTTTATCTCCCTCTGGAGGGAATTAACTTTTACCTCTAGCAGGAAATATAATGGCATGGAAAGGTCTTAGTCCCGTTAGGGATTAAGCCAATTTAAGCTGAGCTTCAGTCTTTGTGAGGGCTAGTTTATTTCCAGTTCACCTCTTAGGGTAGGGCCTTTGAGGGATCCCAAACGAAAGCTATGGACATGTCCCAGGGCTTCCCCTTGTGGACCCTGGACTCCTACTTTTGTCTCCTCTTTCATTCTCATTCCCTCCACCCCCTGCAAGATTGCTAAAGTACTGTTCAGCTTCTCAGCTTCTCAGTTGCTGCTTTCAGCCCAGTTTCTTCGCTTCCAACTCACTGCTTGCTAATTAGCAAATGCTTCAAGCAGAAAAGATGTGCCAAATATAATCTCTCAGCTTCCAGATATTGGCCCTTTAAGTTCTGGCTGCTTTGATAGTTCTCCAGTGACTTGAAACAGATTTTAAAAATATTTTCCCCAGCTTTTCTAGTTGTTTTGATGAGAGAGTTGGTCTGCAGCTAGCTAATCTGCTCTTATCAAAAGCAGAAATCTGACCTTGGAATAAATCATTTAACTTTTTGGAACCTCAGTTTTCTCATCTACAAGGTAATTATGATTTTAACAATACTAATCATACCAGTAATATTGAGAGGGTCAAATAAGATAACCTAATGGAATAAATTTCCTAACCTGTATGGTCTAGAGATAGAGTCTGTATGGCCCCAAAATACTTTATATTTTCCTTTATGGGGATACAAGGCATCTGAAAGTGATACCCTCAAATAGTTTAAATCTAGGCCCATTCAAGAACCGCAACTCAACCAGGCTGCTCATGGAAAGAGCTAGTGAGTAGCATGTACATAGCTGAAATAGTTGCAACATCTCAACACTTCCAAGAAATTGTATTAAGGAATATAACATAATAATATAACTAAGTTAGCTAAAGCATTGCTGCATGTATATTCAAGGAGTGAAATCTCCCAGACCTTCTCTCTATTAAAACAGGCTCTGTGGGTAGTTCTTCCTTGCTCCTTGGGGTGAAATCTCAGGTCCCGGCCTTGAATTTTCTGCTCACTCTCAGTCCCTAGCTTTTAATATCTCTCTTTAGATGTCTCTCTTTCTCTCTCTTCAGTATTTTAAAAGTTCAGTCTTATGTAACAGTTGAAAACATTAAACTTTATCTAAGTTTAACATTTTTCTTCTCTAGAACTGAGAAAGCGTGTGCTTAGCTTCTTTATTTTCTTGCTCCTCCTTCCTCACCTACTTAATGCCTCTGACTCCTCCAGGGTTTGGAAATGGTGGCAGAAAAGAGAGGTAAGGAGTAGAAAGTTCTTTCTGGTCTGATACTGCTGTGAGTAGGCACCGTGCTTTCTGTACTTGGTAAGTATTTAATGCTGACTCATTCTCCATGGGTGTTTTGGAAGACCTCCCCACCTTCTTATTTCTTGGGATCTCTTGAAATGGGTAAATGTACCTCTCTGGGGTGTTGAATTCATCTCCCTCAGCCTCTTAAGAATCTCGTGGTCAAGTCTCTTGGGGTGTCACTTCACCCCTCCAGAGTTCCTTTGGATGGGGTCTAAGACCATCCCACTGGCCAAGTTGCTCATGCATGGGAAACACATGGAAGATACTCAGACATTCTTTGTCATGAAAAACTGGGCATGGAAGATCTCCCCAAAGCATCAATCTTTCTTGCTCAACTATCAGAGCAGTGATCTGAATAAAAGCTATTGGATTTCTCAGCATGAATTGGACAGCAGCCTGACTGGTGGGATACACACCAAGCTCTCTAAGTAGGCCAGCTGCAGCATGCTTTTCCTTAGACATGAGATGGGTGGGACTTACCAGCATATTGACAATTATTGCCACATATCCTATCAGAATTCTCTCTCAGCCTCTCTAACCTGTTTCATAGACTGGAAATCATACCCTGGTTTCTAGACAGCTTCACAAGTTATTTTTGGTGGTCTCGTACCTCATTTTATAATGCGGGTGTACTGGCACTTAGTGTCTTGGGGTCTCAGCCAAACCGAGACTGGTAGGGTCCCATGTTTACGTCCTATTACACATGCTGGAAGGGAATGGTCAGAACAAAAAAGGCCACTCTTATAAAACAATCAGCAAACATGGTATAATTTTTGCACATCAAGGCCTCCTGAGAACGAAGAGCTGCTTTGCCTCCGTAAGTTTGTGTTGTTCTTAGCATGGTCGTTGATGTTCTCAAGATGCCATAGGCTGGAGAGGTAAAGGTGAGGCGCTGCCCTCAAGTGGTCTTAAAAGCAGAAACAATGAAGAGTGGGTGGAGACAAAGAACAGGAAAGGGCTGTGTTAGAAGCTCACCCCAGACCCTTTCCAGGGCTCCCAGGCATAAAGGGTGATGAACTGGAGGTTTGTGTCAGCAGAGGGGTCAAGAACTAGTGAATATGGATTATCATCTTTAATGCGACCCCATTTGTACCCATAATAAAATGTGTGGCTTGGAAAATGTGGGTTATGTTCAAGAAAGTACAAAAAAGAAAATAAAATCACCTGTAATATACCAATTTTCCATTCAAATGTGCACATATACACACACAAGGTGTGTGTGCGTGTGTGTGTGTATGCACATTTGAATGGGAAATTGGTATAATACTTTAACAACATATCATGAATATTTCCTTTATTATTATCCTCAAAACATTTTTAAGGGCCGGCCGAGTGGTGCGATGGTTAAGAACTCGCTTGGGACGCCAGAGGGCCCCGGTTCGGATCCCACATATGAGGGCCAGTGACACTGCCCTCCACAGCTAAGATGCT